GAAACTAAGAAAGACAATTCCAAAAAGAACACTAAAACAGAACGCGCAGAAGGGATAGTTCTAAATGATGGAAAAGTGATTACGAAGAAAATTATATATATGACACAGAATGTTTGCTTTGTGCATGCGTTTAACACGCTGGCAAGAAGTCATAAGTAACGATGGAAAGTATATTCTACAATAAATATTATTAAATGTATGAAAATTGTGTTATATTCCAATTCAAAAACGGACAGAACTTTCCGGTAGACGTAATATATCATTAAAGATTGAAGATTAACCTGAAGATTCCTTATAATATGTAACATGTTATTGTTTACAAATATATGTGATCACTGAAAGTTTTTACTATAATGTAATGCGAAACTAAGAAAGACAATTCCAAAAAGAACACTAAAACAGAACGCGCAGAAGGGATAGTTCTAAATGATGGAAAAGTGATTACGAAGAAAATTATATATATGACACAGAATGTTTGCTTTGTGCATGCGTTTAACATGCTGGCAAGAAGTCATAAGTAACGATGGAAAGTATATTCTACAATAAATATTATTAAATATATGAAAATTGTGTGTTATATTTCAATTCAAAAACGGACAGAACTTTCCGGTAGACCTAATATGTCCGTCATCTGTGGACTTCCTCCTCTCTATTGCAATTTCTTAAGTCGCGAGAGACTGTAATTAGGATTGGACGGCAACGAAGGTCGTTTAGATCCGTTCAGCATGGACTGTTATTTCGAGCTCATGCTATGAAATCGCGGTTGAAGCGGTCGAATCGTTTGATTTTTTAGCAGCGATCGACTGGCCACGTCCAAGAATGGACTTTCCACGTGTTAACGTCGCAATTTCCTGTTGCATTATGCAGAACGCAGAGGCGCGTGCACGCCGGCTCGCGGCGGAAGCGAGGGTAAATCGGATCTCGAAACTTGCGATACATTACCGTACCCCGATCCCCCTCTGCCTTCGAGCTTTTGCATGTAAATAATGTGACAAGATGGCGTTGCGAAATCATAAAGTTACTGGCTCGAACGAGAGAAGTCGACGTCTCCCTTTCTCCCCTGTCCCGCGAACTTTCTCTCATTCTCTTGCCCTTCTATTCTGTCTTTCTCATTCCTGTGTCCGTTTTCTCGCTCTTTCATCCGGCTCGGTTTCCATCGATCGACCGGCAGACGAGTATCGTCGTCGTCGTCGTCGTCGTCCCGAAACGCGGGGAACGCATTTATTTTTCAAGGCCGAAATTTATGTATGACTCAAGCGCGATGGATGCCACAGCGAGATGGGATCCCTGCTCATCGCCGGCCGGTGCATTATCGATTTAAAACGAAAACTGAAGCAACCGGCGTCGAATCGCTCCTAAATTCCGCGAAACAACGACTTAGGAAGACAGCTTCACGATCGCACGATCGAATCGACCGTCCGATCCCGAGCGTACGGCCGAAGTAACCGTGCAGGGAATTCTATGGGGAATCGGGGCATTACATGCGACCGACCAGAGAAGATTCCACGTTCCAGCTAGAGCGCAAGAAGTATTCGGTTACACTTGTGGCAAGGGAGTAATATCCGACACGACCAATAAGGAAGATTTACCCTTTTCCCTGTTCGGAGGATAATAATATTTAGCGAGTTTCATGCGTGACTCGCGAATGGTGCTGCGAATAGATGAGATGCTTGAATTGGAAAAATTGTCTTTCTGGCTCGGAAAGAATACATTTTTATTCGAAATGGAAGGTGTGCCATCTCTCGTGCCATTGATCGATACTTCCCGTTGTTGAAATATTCAACAATTTTATTTCAAACATGTTTCAATGGTTTAGCGAGTTATATTTATATGAATAAGTTAGATTATGGATGTGTGGCTGTAGAAGAAAATTCTGAAGAATAGGATATACCAGAAGAAAAATTGTGAAAACGAATACGATGGGCTGAGAAAAATTAAAGAACAAGGGAGCACTGCTGATACAAAGAATTAAATAGATGGTTACTGCAGAAATGTCTAATATTATATGTTTTAGTACTGGAAACGTGTGATATGTGGCGCACAGTCGGTAAAATGATGCAGATTGTGACAAAATCGAAGAACTTTTGATAGAAATGAGATACAGTGTTGATCATTTTTACGTTAAAGCTGAAATGTTGCAGAATAAGGGAACATGGAGAGAATGTAGTACGAACATTTTTTAACTTTGACAATTTCTACTAAACTTGAAACATTTCAACGAAACAACCTCGATTTCGTTAGCTTTTTCTTTAAAATCTCGAAGTAGCAGATAAATTTTGCGACTGAATTTGAAATCAGCGTGACTAAATCTAAGGAGAATGATGTATAACATGTTGTAAAAAAATGTAACTGTATATAATTAGCCTTCCTTAATTAAGCCTCAGCTTGGAAACAAAAATAGACAATTTGGGCAGAGAAGGTACGACTATTTAAGCCTCGTGGCTCGTTTTTATAGTTGTTGGCGATCGGTAACTATAAAAATAAAAAAAAATCAAGCTCAAATAATCGTATCTTCTGTTCCCAAATTGTCCATTTTTGTGTACAAGCTGAGGGTCAATTAGGGAGAATTTATTGCATTGGATAAATCACGATTTTGTCGGAACATTTCAAAAACACAAATTTTCGAGGTTGGAGAACCTACATTCTACATTCTCTTTATTTCTTCCTTATTCTGCATCACTTCAGCATTAATGTGAAAAAAATCATCTCGATCTTATTTCGTCGCTTTGTCTCACAGTGCGGCGTTCCACCTTGTAACCGTAGATATATCACACGAAGATAGTGATAATATTTATAACTTTATCTTTAACTTTGTCTTATATTTACATTTATCGGTTTATAACATCCGAGATATTTTATTTTGCCAATGAAATCACATTTATATGAAATCAGGTCGAAGTTTAGCATCAAGTAGATACTTATTTATGGTAACGTCGTATTCACCTCAAACAATACTGAAAAAATAAATCCAACGAACAAAAAACTATCTCTCAATTATTTCGAGCCTCTGTATTTACTTCGATTCAACTTATCTACAGTATTTTAGGAAATGACGGAGGCGTTTAGAAGTGTCGAATAACAAATACAATCAACAAATCAATTCTCGGCAATTAACTATGATTCCACCATTAATGGATAGAGTATTTTTCGCAGCATTCAATTGCAAACCATTCTGCGACGAAATGCTACTTGATTAATAGCATATAATTATCAGATTTCGAGAGCAAGATCACATAAAATGTTACTTTTCAGGAGATGTTTCACTGCGTCGAGTAAAAAAAATTCGTACTCCACTTACTTTTATATGATTTGAGAAGTCTTATAGTTACGCTTGCACGAGATATTCCTAAAATTCGAGATTATAATAAATTACAATCACGAAAATGGCTATTCACAGTTACACGCTTCAAATCAGTTTCCTTCGTATTTGCAATTACTGAATTGTCACGATACAGGATAATCCTTCTCCGAATTCTTTTCGTTCGTAAAACAATCAATCCTTATTTCCTAGGCTACAGATTTATTTTCGAATGCCATTATAATCAAAGTATTCGGGATTCGTTTCGTTCATGCACGAAACACAACCCCATTTTTGTAAAAGAAAACAAAGCCTTTGTTAGTTATGTTCTCGTTTATCGAATGCCCAAAAACAACCAGTCGGTCGTTTGCTTTTTCTCTCGAAACCACATTGCAGCGGAAGCCCAATAAAAATAAATGGAGGAACACGAACTGCCGTACGATACATGTATCAGCGTTCGCATCGTTTGTTCTTCCGGATACGGAGGAAAATATTTGACGAGAAAATAGGTCTATTTTTCTGCAAGATAGGACCCTTCCTCCTGCTTAAAGGATGAGAAACGCTTTCGTGAAAACTTCCTGAACACTTCCTGAACGCTTCCTCCAAAACTGGCTTAACCAACGATAAGTTACTCAATAATTCCTCGAACAGTGACCGAAAAACAATCCAGTTCATTGATGAAAACCAGCGTAAGATAAATTCTGCCCGTCGGCCAGCTGTTCAGTCCCTCGATTCATCCGGCGTCGAAAATAAAGCATCAACGAGCGCATATCTTAATTGAAAGCACGATGGCCGAGAAGGCATCGGAACTGCTCATGAATCGATCTAAATATAACGGGAGCATACAACGAACGCGGTGCTCGCAGAGTGATCGCGATGGTAGGCGGTAGTAGGCTATAGACGGTAGGGAGAGTATAAAGAGCGACAGAGAGAGAGAGAGAGAGAGAGAGAGAGAGAGAGAGAGAGAGGGAGTGAGTGACGAGAGTAGACTGACCTTGGAGAACCTCTCCTGTGTGTCGAGGATCTCTATGAAGAGCGAGACCTTATCGTCGACTATCTTGAATCCGTTCCGTGGTTGCGCCAGCAGCTGCTGTATGGCCTGCGAGGTGGTGAGCGGGGTCGCGGGGCTCGTAGCCGGCGTGGAGGTTCTGGTTCCGGTGCTGGTGGTGGTGCCGGGGCTGGTGTTGTGCAGATGAGTGCACCCCAAAAAGATCGGGTTGCCGTTTGGCGAGACGCCGCAGTTAAATGGCCGGAACGGCAGTCCGTGGAAGGTCGGGCTCGGCCTTGGCGCGGAAGCACGAAGAAGAGACTGAGCAGACGGCAAAGACAGGCGTCGCACGGCGCTCTGGTTCTGCTGTTGTTGCTGGTGGTGTTGCTGTTGCGTCTGCTGTTGAGTTCTCGACGGTGACTTAAGTATCTGATAGTCGCTCGCGGCGGACGGCAGAGATCGATAGCCGGAATCCGAGGGCGAAGCGGGCGGCATCGGGGCGGTTTGAGGGGTGGTGGCGATGCTATGAGGCCTGGGTCGCAGAGCGGCGCCCGGCGTCCACGTGTTCGAATTACCTGGATTCGTCAGTATGCTCAGAGCGGGCCCTTGTGACGTGGGCGTGGGTGGCTGGGGATGTGGCAGGGTCGAAGCGTACGCCCTGCGAGGTATGGGTTGGTGCAACACCATTCCAGAGGAACCCCACTGTATAGGCTCGGCTGCTGTTGCACGAGCGGACGATGGTACGCCGGCTGCTGGTGTTGCTGTTGGAGTTGCTGCAGGCACGCCTGCTGGAGCTGTAACGGGTGTCGAGGCGATGCTGTGAGGCCGCCTAGGTACGGGTTGCTGTAGCTGCCCGTTCCATAAAGATTGGGGTGGTATAACGCTGCGAGTCGTGGGTCCCATTGTACCGTTGACGGGTGCACCGTTGCCCCGTGGCTCCTGTTGACCGTTGACACCATTGACGCCGCCATTGTTGTTACCACCGCCGGCGGGTACAGATACTGGAGTACCGGCGACCGAATGGGCCCGCCGTTGTGCCAACCCGCCTGGTACAACCCCGGCTGCGGTAGTGCTTGGTGCGCCAATGGAGCTCCACGATGACGGTGTTGCGGATCCTGGTGCGACTGTGGCTGCTGGTGTTGTTGCTGCTGCTGCTGCTGTTGCTGATGTTGAGCCACATGCGGGTGATGATGATGATGATGGTGATGATGATGATAGTGCTGACGTTGCGTTTGCTCGACCAGCGAGTTGACCAAGGGAGTGGTGGATACCTGAGACGACATGGTGGTATGCTGGAGCGGTAATACTATGAGGACGCCTCGGGGCTGTTGGTTGGGGTAGACCGTTGGGAGTAGAGCGAACTTTATTTGCGCCGGATGCTGGTATCGGGGCTGGTGGGGTGTACAATGGGAATCCGTGACCATTGTGACTCGGGCTACGGGTGGGCAACTGGTTGATCGGGGACGACTGAACGTTATTCCGTTGCTGTTGTTGTTGTTGTTGTTGATGTTGATGTTGCTGCTGCTGGTGCTGGTGATGCTGTTGCTGCTGCTGCAGCTGGTGCTGTTGGAGTTGCTGGTGCTGTTGGTGTTGCTGGTGCTGCTGTTGCTGGTGGTCGTTGATGGAGTTTGCTCGTAGCGTGCTCGCTGGATGTGCTGGGGCCGGTGGGGGCGGGGGTTCCAGCAGATTTTCAAGTTCTGCAGACAACGACCACGCTGAAGATAATGCTGATAGTGGTGGTACTGTTGGTAGAGCTGGTAGCTGGACGGTGTTGCTGATTGCTGAATTGCCAGCGGACTCGGTATTGTTGTTGATTGGGCCGGCAGGGTTTGGCGAGGAGGACTTGTTGTTGACGCGTGCGGCGCGCTCACCGCCGATGACAGCGGTGACGTGCTGTAGATGACGATCATTCAGGCTCGCACGTCCGTTGACATTGCGATAGAAACCGGGAACCGGTGCGAGGTTCAGGCTGGTCGGCTTCTGTTTCACGCCGCCGTTTGGCTGCGGAGACGAGGCGGGTTTCGGCTCGCCCATTTGGGTATTAGCGGCGTCTGGACACTACCCGACTAGGTGTCCGCCAGCACGATCATGGTCTTTCACGCGCTCGCGAAATCTTTCCTGCCTCTCTGTCCCCACTGTTGTTATTTATTATTCTCTGTACAACCAAGAGTCCTTTCGGTCTCGTTTATTGTCCCAGCGTTCGTCGAACGCGTACCTCTCCTGGTTCGATGTCTCCAACGAATAGTAGTCGTCCAACTATAATACTTAGCGGTGTTTCAGCCGGAAATGTCGCCTGGAAAAATTCGATTCCGCGAATCGTTGAGTCAATGTTGACCCGTCGCTACCATTCGGAGCGGGTTTCGGTCGTTCGCGAACTAGCTCGTGCACATTTCGCGCGCGACATGTTTGCCACCCGCGTGCGAACGAATCGATAATCTCCGCGGTTCGTCGTCTGGTAGTTCAAACATCTGCTGCCTCTGCTATGTCGTCGAGTCGGCCAATCTCCATTTTTATCGACGGTTATCCCACCTCGGCGCCGTGTTTCGAATTACACGAGCGTTCCTCGCTCGCGTCGCCGGCGAACGATATTCGGTATTCAGGCTCTGTTTGCTCGTTCGTTGCATCAGTCGATAGGCCGATAGTCAAGCTTTGTCCCCCGCAGCCGGAGATCGTATAATATTTCGGAATAACATTTGATTAATTGTATCTGCCGGCGCGCGTTAATTCAACGGCCGGTATTCTCGCGCGAATCGATCGTTATTAATTACTCGTCGATTGTTATGCGGATTAAAGCGCGAACTCATGACCATTATTATATTTAGAGTACTGGCTCGTTAGCCGGGCTGTTGTGTCCCCAACAGAAATCCGATCTTTCGCAGCCGTTTTCTTTCTTCTTCGTTATCTTCCTCCCTCTACGCTTCGTTCTTCCCACTTCGTTTTCGTCTGTATCTTCTTCGTTTCAATAAATATCTCTCTCAACTGGTTTTATATTGATCGCGAACAACCGGTATAAATCTTTCAAATATGTAATAGATATCTCTATGTAATAGATTAAGATTTTCGATTAATAAATCTCCGCTATAACGACAACGATCACTAAATCCTCTAGTAATGATTTGTTTTAATAAGAACTTCGATCTACGATCGTTGGATGCTTATCGATCCAAGCGAGATTCTTCTCTATCCCAACGACCATCCAATGGTTTCGCGGCTACGTGCGTCGCCTCTACGGGCTCTCGAGCAACAGAAACTCTACATGCGATTGAAAATTTACCACGTGGTCGATCGTGCGTGGCCTAGAACGGGTGATCGCGATTCTCGATCGGCCGCGACGCGTTTCACGCGGAACCACCGCCGGGGGCGAAAAGGAAGAAACTTCCTTCGAACCTTCACTGCAAAACAATCATCGGAACACGTCACCGGTTTTCGGAGTTATCCCCGAGGTTTACCCGTTACCGCGCGTACACTGTAACACCACCAAACCGGGCACGTTAAGTCGACGAATCGGCACAACAGTTTCGGAAACAAAACAAAACAGATACGATATTATCTCCGAGACGATCGACGACGCGCGAAAAACACTTCTTCCCTCTTCCTTCGCTAAACGGACGATCGCTCACTATTCTAGCCGTCGAATCGGGATCACGAAAGCTCCGTCCGCTTCGCCCGATTCTAGGCCGGTTCCTTCTTCGATGTTCTTGCCAGCCGTTCCCATGTCTGCTCGACGACTTAGCTCTCGTGACGGATCACTGAACCGACCGCCGGTCTACCATCTTCCTGGAGCACCGGTCCCATAACGACGCTGCTCCGTCGCCTCGGAAGCTTCGAGGGAACCAAGCCGGTCGTCGGTGGCAGCCAGGCTCGCCAGCATGTTCCTCGACGATGACGCGAGTGTTCCGGTCGCAGATCGACTGGAGGCAGCCGAGAACACCGCGCACCGGTGTCCTCGCCGGTGGGAACCGCGTGAGTTCAATGTGCGCGGGTCAGGAATCGAAGAGGGAAGTTAGGGACAGGAGGTCAGTCGGGTGAGACTGACGCGTGGCTGCCGTGCCGGGGGCGGAGTGGCGTGTTCCTCTTTGGAATACGGCGGGATTCGAGCCGCGAGCACCCGCACGCCTGCGCCTCGCGGATCGTCGGTGCTAGCTCTCTCTCTCTCTCTTTCTCTCTCTGTCTTCCAGCCTCTCCTACCTCCTCGCCGTTCTATCTCGCTCTATCTTTCCCCATCTCCCGCTTCCTCTCCGCGGTCCTCCCACTTGTCCTCCCTCGTTCTCTCTCGCTCCGGCCGCCGTTCCTGAGGGAACATTGGTACGGCCCTGCTGCACCCTCGCCGCGTCCCACCCCGGCTGGTCCAGCCGAGTTTCTCCGAGGCTGTGTACGCCGTCAACGTCGCCGACGACGGCGTCGCCGACGACCGTGCCGATCCTCGTGCCTGTTTCTTCTCGCCGCTAAGCCGCGCGCTGCTAGGTTTTCGTGGTCGACCGGCCGGGGGAGTGTGTCAGAGAGAAAGGACAACAACAAGGGCCGCAAAAACAAGTGGAGGAAGAACAAGACTCCGTTTGTCTCTTTGAGGAACAGCAGAGGGACACCTCGCGCCCCATCCCTCTCCCGCCCCTAACCGCCGCCTGTTCTGCTTCTCTGGTATACCGCACGGGGGTTCGCGTCCCTTCCCGTCTCCTTCGCGAGTCTCCTTTGATTCCATTGTCGTCGACGATCTTCTTTCCGCGGGCGCACGTAGCGGTAGCCGGTCGACCATTAAGTTCGTCACATTGATTCTCGACCGACGCGGCGCTAAGCTTTCTTGCGGCACGGTTTTCGCCGAGACGCCGCCGCTTAGAGGCCGGTACATAATTATTCGGAGAGATAGAAAACAAGAAAAAGTGAACAAACACTCGAAAGCGGAATAACAGGGTGAAAAAGGGGCTCGCTCGTGTGTCGGTGCGAGCGCGAGCCGTGTGTGCGTCGCCGGTCCTCGCCGACGTTGACAACCGTTTCAACCCGAAGACGAGGTATAAAGGCGAGAGAAATAAACGAAAAAATGGGAACGAAAGTACTATCTCTCGGCGGTGGAGGCCGTACGCAGGGCACATTGCCCTCCTGCCATCTATTCGTCGCCCCATCCCCCCTCGCCCCCTCCTCCTGTCCCGGCCCACTCTCATCCCTTCCGTCGTTTCCTCGTCATCCGTCTCCCTCTGTTTATCTATCCACCCCTTCCTACGTGGTCGCTGTAATACGAGCAGCATGCGTCGACCGTCAACCCCCTTTTCGTGATCTGGGTATGTGGGGCTTTGGCCATGTCGCCTGGAGAAGCTTATGGATCAATGATAACCGCTATCGCCACCATAACAATACGATTATTTAACGATATATATATAGGGGGCCTCGAGGAGGGCGCGAACGCTGACGTGGACCTGGTCGTGGACGATTCGTGTTCGGCGAAAATGCATATTGCGAAATGGGAAGACGGCGGAGGCTCTATCTTAGCAGTGATCGCAAGGGATTTCCTGAGGAAACGTGTATCGTAGATGTATATGTAGATGTATGTGTCAAACTCAAAAGCTAACTTGGGCCAGGATAATAAATAAACAATGCTTGACTTTAGGTGGGCCGCAAAAAAAAGATCAATGTTCATAAAAACAAATATTTTTATTTTGACTAACACACATATATATATATATATACTAGTACATATGGTTAGTGAGTTAGTATAGTTAGTATAGTTATATACTAGTATATACTAGTATATAATAATAACAAAATAAATATTTTTATTTTGACTAACACATATATATATACACTAGTATATATAGTTAGTTAGTTAGTATAGTTAGTATAGTTATATAATAGTATATACTAGTATATACTAGTATATACTAGTATATAAAGTTAAATTATTGTTTGCGTCCTGATACTTGACACCAAAAATGTTCATCTCGGGCCGCGAGTTTGACACACCTGATGTAAGGTATCAGAATTTTGCTATCTCTGAGAATGACCCCTGTAATATGGGGAACTGCCTCTTTTGGCTTTAGTTGTTTGTTTAAGTTCGGTACTTCGTCCGAGGGGAACGTATGGCATTTACCGTCTCGGCATATGTTTATCGTGGTACAAGACTTGTGTTCTTACAGATGTTCACGAGAACAATGTTAGGACAATCAGGCCTGAATCAGCAATCGGAAATTATCTTGATGAAATGCACAATTTGAAAAATAACAATCGAACAACTATACGATTGACGATGCTTAAGATCATCTTCAGATTTATTTAGCAATCTTCTGGAACATATTTTGAAGATACTCCTTGTAGACTCATTAGTATGCGACCATTTGTCATAATTACAGAAGTAGCACACTACATAAGTACCTAAGTAACAAGACATGAGAGCCAGACACAACTATTTTCCTTTTCTTAATAATTTTAATAATATCTATTATATTACAATATCAATTACTTTCTTTGAATATCTTCACTGTCTTAAATTATGCCTACTCATTTTTTCTATAAACGCATCAAATCCGCTGTCCAGTCATAATCATTCCCTCAACATTATATCTCACGAATCCTAACTATTTTATGTAATGGATTAATTCATTTTTAACATATCATGGAATAACTAATTTTTAATATTAATTTTGTATTGTTAAAAAGAGAATATTGAATTGTTATCATAATAAAATCTTGAAAAGTTCACTGGCCATTCAAAGTTATGCAGCTGCCAGTAATATTGCATATTTCATAATATTATAATCATATAATATAATATAATA